CGATCCTTCTGCCCGATACACAAAATCAAAACAAGAAATCAATGGCTTACACAAATTCGGTGTCCATGTACACATCAACCTATTTTAACTTTAAAAAGAATCACAGAATTGCTTAAACCAGGCATTGTGCATTACCTTAACTTTGCCCATGCACACATCGACCTATTTTGAGTTAAACAAAATTGGGAAGTTAAAAACTAGCATGTTAAACAGAAAAAATTTTCTGCTGTCTTAACACACAGAGACAAACAAATAACCAAAAATACACAAACAGAGAATAATAAATAACCAAAAATACATATTTCATAACATAAAAACCTTAAACTCGCAAATCTTTTAACAAAAATTCACACACACAGATGAATAAATAAATGAAATTTTTTAACATACCTCCACGTGCATACATTCACGCTTTAAACCACCATTTCCTCCATCCTCCAAGTAAGCAATTCAATTAAATTTTAGGTCGCTTAAGCTCATCCGTTGTTAATGGCAGATAAATACGTACAATAGCGTCCAAGAAAGCCATAAATAGATTCCCCCCATGGGCCTTTTTGTGCCACACTTATTCAGCCAAATAATAGTACAAGCCATCTTTCATTTTTCTCCTGGCTAAACTGTGTTTAACTGCACTCCACGTTCCTTCTATTTTATTAACGTCGGCACCTGTATCTGGATCCTTAAATCGCAGACTATGATTTATTGTTAAGTGTCCAAAGCCTTTATCTGAAAGGCAATTGTACACCTTCCAACAGTCAGAAATTATAGTCATATCCAGAAGAATATACTCTATACTCGTTTATAACACTAAGCAAACTTTCAGGCACCACTTTCATAAAACATTATACACGAGCAACCAAACACAGCAACTGAAAAGAATGCTAAGAATCAGAAAACCCTGGTCCACATGAAAAGGGTGGTTAACTTTTGGATTATGGTAACTTGGCGATTTTTTGGCGACCAACCCTCCTACGGCAACCTTCTAGTTTTTGTTTGGACGCCATTTTGTTTTCCCAAAGTAAAGGCCTTTTTTTTTTTTTTTTTTTTTTTTTTTTTTTTTTTTTTTTTTTTACTTAACATTTTTTTACAACAATCACAATCTGCTAGCCAAATTACACTTATGCTAGAACATTTATGGAACAAAAGTGCTTAATCATGACGAAGATTAGGTGTGAAATTGGGAGAAAGTGCAGAATCGCAAACTGCTTGCCGCGTTGTTAAGAATTGCACATACACGGTATCTATGTACACGTCGATCTACTTTCACTTAAAAAAAATCCCATAATTGCACAAAAAGGGCATTGCATACACTTGACTTTATCCATGTACACTGCTAAAGTCCTAGCTAGTAACCTTTATTGACTTACCAAAATGTCGCCAAACTACCTGTTACCATATTCCAAAGATTAGCCGAAAGGATTACTATTACGAAAAAAAAAAGAGCAAAATCTCAATTATGACATCACATTTGGCCATATTCGCACAATTTTCCCGAAGGCTAGTTTCGCCAACGTTATCAAAATTAGGGTTACCGAAAAACCTATTCCACGCAGCGGGCTTCCAGATTTCACGAACAACCAATAAGACTTGGCGATTTTTTTCACACACAAACCAAGGGGTACCGTACAGTAAAGATCAACCTAATATAGTTTATTGAGATTATATATTTTTTGTTTGGCTCTAGAACTGGGCGCGGCTGATCTTTGGAATATGGTAACTGGTAGTTTGGCGACATTTTGGAGGCGATAAAGGTTACTACCTAGGACTTTGGTAATAATGTGAGAAGCACTCAGTTCCGATTACGCATTATTTTGTGTAAGGGAAATGAGAGATCATGATGTATGTCATGTGACATTAATGGACGAATTACAGTTGTTTAATCGGAAAAGGGGAGAAATCTGGAAATTTCGTATTTAGCTATATTCTGTGTTGTGTGAAATGTGACATTAATGGACGAATTACAGTTCTTTAATCAGAAAAGGGGGTTAAATTGGAAAAGCTTCATTGTGTGTTGTGCGAAATAGTGTTCATTAATTTTCGGATTGCATGGCGCTATGTAAAGTGAATTCTAAATTTTTAATGCGTTTATCTGATAATAATAATAAGTTGAGATTCTGTGAAAGGAAGGATATTAGAAGTTTAAATGGCTGTGCAAGAAATATGGTGAAAATGGACATTTTGTGAAAAGGAGTGTAAGGAAGGGTACGTGGTTTGCTGAAAGTAGTTTGAGTATAGGTGAAATTTTATTAATTTCTTATTACTTGGTGAATAGACTTCCAGTTGACTACTGGATTTAGGATTTAGGAATTAGCAGTAGTACTGCAGCGACGTAATGAAGATTCTGAAGAAGATTAGGCAAGTTAGTATTTTTAATCATTTGAGGATATTATTTTTATGCATTGTTCTAAATGTAAGGAGTAAATAAATTAAAATGGTATTATTTGAAAATTGTTATTAGCAATGATTTAGTTTAAAGTAATTAGGATCGTAATCTAATTTTTATTAATTTAATGTATGTGCTTATTTATATTTTAAGTAGTGTTTTTTAATGTAATTATATTTTAATTTAATGATCGTGATTTTATGAGTTATATGTTTGTAGTATTTTGGAATATGCTTGAGTAGTATACGTTGAGTATTTTCATGCATTTTCGTGAAATTTTTCTAATTTATGAGAAAAAAGCAGTGTACATGGATATAGTGAAGAGTGTGCGCAATGCCATTTTTGTGCAATTCTGGGATGTTTTTCTAAGTAAAAATAAGTCGACGTGTACATGGTTTAGTGATATTTTAATTAAATGATAGTTATTTTGTGAATTTTATGTTTGTAGGAATTTGGTATACGTTTTAGCTGAAGTAAACATGCATAGAAATAATTTAAATATTTGACACTAAGTATTTGTAATGTTTGCGGTACGAATTCGTTGGTGACATTTATAATATAATAGATAATTTAGAGGTAAAAGTTTTTAGATATTTTATTTATTTTATACGTGGAAATTTTCATATTTGGAAAGGGTATATACTTTTTTGCGATAAGGTAATTTCATATATGTTCTTTTTACCGGGTTTAAAGATTCAGAAAATTGTCATGCATCAGAAAATTTCTAATTTATGAGAAAAAAAGCAGTGTACATAGATATAGTGAAGAGTGTGCGCAATGCCATTTTTGTGCAATTCTGGGATTTTTTTTTAAGTAAAAATAAGTCGGCATGTACATGGTTTATGTGTATGTGTTATTGTGAAAAACGCGCAAGGAGTTTCCGATTGTGCACTTTTTCCCAATTTTGCAGTGAATATTTGTCATGATTAAGCAGTTTTGTTAGATAAAATTTCTAGTATAAGTGTAATTTGGCTAGTAGATTGTTGGAAAAAGTGTTCAGTAAATAAAAAGAAAAGAAACATGTCTTTGCTTCGTGAAGACAAAATGGTGGCGGAAAAAAAAAATAGAGGGTTGCTGTAGCAGAGTTAGTCACCAAATTTTCGCCAAAAATCGCCAAGTTACCACAATCCAAAGATCAACCCTGGGCGCTCCTTTGACTTAAGTGAAAATAGATCAATGTGTATATCGACAAAGTCAAGGGAGTGTGCAATGCTGAGTTTCTACAATTCCCTGATGTTTTTTTAAGTGAAAATAGGTTGATGTGTACATGGATACCAAGTTTGCGCAATTCTTTGACTTGTTATTTTGACTGTGTACAGCGGTGATTTTTGATCCAAGATAACAAGTCAAAGAATTGCACAAATTCAGTGTCCATGTACCGCCAAAAATCCCCAAGGAACTTGAAATACAACAAACAAACAAACAAACAAACAAAAATGAAAAAAAAAAAATTATGTGAAGTGACAATGCTTGGTTGAAAGACTAATATGAGCATGGTTGCCAGAGTTTGGCATAGTCTGAAAATCTGGCACATTGTACTAAGGTAGTTCTGATAACATGTAAGTACCAAACATATTTGCTTTAGTTCACTTATATGCTAACCTTCTAAGTGTAAAAGCCATATTTAGACCAATCACGAAGTTCCATATTTACACAGCATTTATTATTATGATTTGTAAAATAATTTATTTCATAATTTGTTTTCATAAGATTCAGATCATGATAATGTCTTCTAAATCATTAAACAAAAAATAATAATAATAATAATAATAAGAGAAAAATATTATACAGGACAAATTAAGATATGCATCGTGGAGGGGGGGATAAAGAATTTTACTTGATGTAAATTTGTTTAGTCATTTAGTACCTTTTATTTCCCTATAAAAAAAAAAAAAAAAAAAAAAAAAAAAAAAACAAGATTAAATAAAAGCACCTATCTATTGCTGTAAAACTGTGTTTATCCCCCTCTCCTTTCTAAAACTTGCAAAGTACGTACAATTTAGATTTTTTTAACATGTTTTGTAAATTAAACAAAAGTATAGAAAATGCTGATATATATATACCAAAGCTTGAAAAGGAGTAGATTTTTATATTCATAAACTAAAACGAAATACTTAAACAGCCAAATAAAAGACTGACTGCATTCCTCCACTTGAGAACGACTGCTCTTGAATATTTACATAATGTTTTAAAAAAAATTTGGTACTCCTCTATTATCGGGACCAGATTAAAAAATGCATGCATGTATAGTGTGGATGTATGTACTCATTGAAGCATGTATATGTGTATGTATGCGAGTATGTACTACATACACATACAAAATTTCTGAATCCAGTCCCGATAACAGAACAGTACAAAAAAATTTAAAGCTCTAGATCTTAATTACTAACTAGTACATTACATTTAAAATAAAACAACTCTTTTTGCATCGACAGCAATGCAAAATTTGTTGAGAAGGGCTGTTTTAAAAATTACATTAATTTGTAAACCTAAACTAAAAAACTTATTTCAGATTACTAAAAATAATCATTCATTCCTTTTCTGAAAAAAAAAAAAAATTAAAAATTCAATTTCACACAGCTAATTCTCAATTCTGCAATTACATTAAATATCTTACCTGAAGTGTTTTAATAGCTAGGCTATTCGGATGTTCACTGTATATATAAGTGGACTTTGGCTTAACCTATGAATAAAATATTTTTTTAAAAAGTGTCATTAACTGATTTGCTCAATGAGAAAAATCATTAATTTCAATCACATAACCTGCATGCAATTTAGATATATCATTCATTATTCAGGAAAGTAAAACAACTAACCTTATCAAAAAATAGCTTCTTCTTTGATGGCCCAACAATACACAAAGAATTAGAGAAAGAAAATGATGGACTAGCAATACATAAAGAATTAGAGATAGATGATGATGGACCAGCAACACAGAATGAATTATTAGAAGTCGATGATCCTGCAGCACATAAAGAATCATCAGAAGAAGTGGATGGGCCAGCAACATATAAAGTATCAGTAGAAGTTGAAGGTCCAGCAACATATAAAGTATCAGTAGAAGTTGAAGGTCCAGCAACATATAAAGTATCAGTAGAAGTTGAAGGTCCAGCTACACATAAAGAATTATTAGAAGTGGATGGACCATCAACAAAAAAAGACTTAGAAGTCGAAGGACCAGAACTCCATAATGAATTAGAAGAGGTTGATGGGAAACTAAATGACTGGCATTTGGTGTCTACTTTAGGTATATTCAATGATCTTTGCTCAGTGAAACATGTTACTACACTCGATAAAGGCTTGATACCTGAAACCGACTCAATTTCATCTAAATTTGGCACTGAAGTCTTACAGTAATTCTTTCTACTAGAAACTTTATCATCTAATTTAAAATTAGAAATTTTAAATGTTTCCAATGCAAAAGATTTTTCGCTTACAGACTTTTCATGTATTAAATTTTGCTTTCTCTTTGACAGAGACAGGTTCTGAGGTGTTAGTTCACTCGCCAGTGAAACCTGCTTTTTATATTCCACTGCTGTAAGTTCTTCATTTTTAATTTCATGATTAGCAGGTTCTAGTTCAGAATGTTCAACTGATACAGAATTGCAAATTTTTGACGAAGTAACAGTTACTGATACATTTACAAATGTATTTGCATAACCTATAGACGATGCTTTAACATCAGAGGAGGAAGTTTGTGTATGCTCAGAATTTTTATGATCGAGTTCCAACTTCTCACACTTCAAATACTCTTTTTTCCAAATCAGAGGAATTTCTCGAGATGTCAAGTCTTCAGCCATTTCATTCTTAAATGTATGCTTTAACTGATATGACTGAGAATGTTCTACTGATAAATTTTCAGCTTTCAAAGACCTATCTGCAGTAGTTGTAGAAATCTCCATTGAGGATTGAGCAGCAGCTGTATCTGATACTTCAGTTGTATTATTTTTTATCATTCCAATTAAATCTCCCGAATTAAAAGATTTGGACAAATTCAGTGGACTACATGATGGAGAATTCCTTTCACCTTCAGGAAATGACTGTTTTAATTCAGTATATTCTACACTAGAAGCAGAAATTTTAGCTTTCTCATCATTCACACTTTGCAAACTTGCTGTAGCAGATGAAATGCTAATAGCACGTTTATTGATTGATTCCTTATTTTCTGAAACAGTTCCACCATCTGGACATGCATTACTTTTCGCAGCAGGTGCCACAACAACACTTTTATTCTGGATAATGATTCTTGAATCCCGGCGACGACGTTTAAAACCTCTAAGAGGACTTCCTTTATAGACTGGATTACACTGTTTAGAAGCAGCTGAATTAATTTGTTCAGAACCTGAACGAGCTTTTTTAATACACTGAGGTGCTAAGTAATCAAATAATATAGGATGAGGTGCAATTTCATACAACCATGAATCATCACAAGAAGTTTCCACTTCGTACAAGCCATCATCAAATGGCGACACTTCACCATCAACATTTGCACGAGTCATTTCATTGCTAACTCCAGAACCACGATCAGTTTCTCGGAAATCACTTTCAGACCTTTTTTGCTGGTTTCTCCATAAAATCAAACGATTATGATGACTAACAAAAGTTGGTTTATGTGTACATGGTAACTCATAATCTGAAGCATCAAGACAATAATTTGCTCTAATGCATGCACTAACCCAACTAGCTAAAACAACATTTATATGTGGAGGATATGTTGTCCATTCCAAAGCCTGACACACAGCAGCACTGGTTACATTTTCATCCACCAAAACATGACTTGTATTATCAGTTACGCAGTAAGACACTCTGCCGCCATATTTACATACAAGATTCGCAAGAACATACCGCCTTGCTGCCCCTAGATTAACAGATAAAATATAAACATTAAATGATTGAAAAATAAAAGGATAAGTAGCATAAAGTCTATTTCCATCATCAGAATTCCCTTGTGTTCGACGACGCTTCACTATGTTCTTGTAACTAAACTTACGCGACCGCTTCCGATACTTAGACATTACTGAAATTTCTTCAAATGACCAAAGTAACCGAATAAAAAAAACTAATTACGATATGTGAAACAATCAGATCTTTTTTTAATTCTTATGTTTCATGCAAAATAACCTGAAACCCATATCAAATTACAAGACAACCCCAGCAGCCGTTTGGAAATGCAAATGAAGTGTCAGACAAACGGAAACAAAACTAATCAAAACACTCATTTTCAAGCGTAGTTGAGTGACAGCTATCCTGTCCAATTCTAATATTACTTTCACTCAATATTCGGAGAACAGCTTTGGTGGCGACAACTTGGCTCTTTTAAGGATGTAGGTGGCATTTTATTATGCCAACAAAAGTAAATATCTATAAGGAATAGCAGCTAGAGAGAAGGTCAAATATTTGGGGAAAAGGCGACGTAAGAAGTTTTAGCTAGATAAATTAGATTTAAAAGTCCAAGTAATGTGCATTTATGACAAAAACTTTAGGGCAGTAACATTTCGATCCAATTTCATACATGTATTAATTAATCATTCGGCATTAATACTTCCGCCAAGCTTACCAACAGGTAATGGTTTTAAGAATTTACCATTAAGTTTTGAAATAAAACACGGTCTAAAATAAATTTAGCATTTTAAACATGATATGTAGTGCATAGGGGATATTAAGAATATGTAAGTTAAATTTAGCTAAAAGTGTTACTTGATTAAACATACTAAGCAATGTATGTAAAATTTAGTTTGTTAAGCGTGATAATTAGTGAAGTTAAATACAGTTAGCAAAAAAAGCAATATGTTCAGCAGATGCAATTAAAAATTAGCTGGTTAAACATGCCATTTAGTACAATTAAATTCGGGTTGGTAGAAAAGCCTGATGTTAAACATGTGCAAGTAAACATTAGTACACTGGTGTGCAAAACTTAAGCAACAACAGGGTTTTTTGCCATAACTCCACGAGAAATTAACCGAGAGACATGAAATGCAGAAATGAAGGAGAGTATTATGTACGTAAAGGATGACGAAAGCATCGGAGCTGAAAAAGGAATACAATGCATACGGTATGGAATCAAACAAAAAAAAGCTTTATTGAACGCATAGTATCGTGACTCCTGATTGTCTATCCAAGAGGAAGAACAATAAGCAGATGTTCCTTAATATGGTATATGCCCTTCCCTCACTGCAATGGTTGCTTCGCACCGTCTCCGCATACTCAGAACCAGCTGATGCAACATTTCTTGCGGTAGGAGTGCCCATTCCTCAATCAGCATCTGTTTGAGTTGTTGGGTGTTCTCCGGAGGATGTAAGCGTGCTGCAATGCGTTTCCCCAAAGCATTCCACACATGTTCGATAGGATTTAAATCTGGGGTGTACGCTGGCCAATCCATTCGAGTGATATCTTCACTTTCCAGTAGCTCCTCAACAGCAAGAGTCCGATGTGGCCGTGCATTGTCATCATTAAAAATTAAGAGTGGGCCAATGGCATCTTGGAACAGACGCACATGGGGAAAGAGTACCTCTTCACAATAGCGATTCCCGGTTACAGACCCTCTGTCGAAAACGTGGAGCTCAGTTCGCCCGTTCAGCATAATGCCTCCCCAGACAAGAACTCCAGGACAACCGTTACGGTGTCTGTCCTTGATGTTACTGGGATAAAACCGGGTCCCGACCTCTCTCCAAATCAAAACGCTTTGAGAATCGCTTCCGGTACTGAACCGACTCTCATCCGTAAAGAGGACACGACTCCATTGATCAGTTGTCCAGTTTTTGTGCTCTCTGCACCACTGTAAACGGCGGCGTCGGTGGCCAACTTTGAACGGGAGGCAGCGTTAAGGACGGCGGGCGAATAGGCCTCCTTTGTGAAGGCTTCTGGCCACAGTAAACCGCTACACTTGTCGCCCCGTTGCTGTACAGAGCTGCTGAGCAATGGCGCTTGCTGACTGCTGTCGGCCTCTTTTAGCCTCCAGGACGATATATCGGTCATCCCCCGCAGTTGTCGTCCTCGGGCGGCCACCACCAACCTTTCTAACAGCTGTACCTGTGGTTTGGAACGCTTTCCAAGCGCGCGAAACGACACTTTTGTTGCTTGAGAACTCTGTAGCTATACTGGTGACTGTACGCCCCTCGTCCAGCTTTCCAATCATTCTTCCACGTGTGATATCGTCCAGGTGATTTCTTCTAGCCATATTTCACGAACTGACTCACTCGTACTTGCAGCGAATATATTGAAAAGTGTCTCCGTCCTTCCTTTTATTCTACTGTTGTGCTGCGCGCGCCGACATCACGCGTTTTGTGTGCGCTCACGTCGCCTCTGAACGTGTTTCGTTCCTGATATTTGCATACGCATGACGTTTCTACTGACTTACGTGTTCATTGTACTGATCTCCAGACCTCCTTTTCTGCAATTTCACGGCTATCTGCTAAATTTTTACATTGTTGCTTAAGTTTTGCACACCAGTTTATAAAAGAGAAAAGTAAATGTTAGCATTATTTAAAATTAGTAACGCAACAACCTTGAGTTTGGCGTAGATTTAGTCAACATCGAAACTATTTCGTGGGCAAGCAAGTACAGGTCTCTCGTCTTCAGGAGCAATCTTCAGTCTTGTAGATTTCTTTGCTTCTACTAAAGAGGGACCTGTACCATTTGCCCTCGAAATCGACTGAGATCTTAACTAAACTTACGCCCAACTCAAGGTTGTTGCGTTACGAAGTTTCTGTTTCACTTGGTGTGTTTCTCTTTTGTTTCCCTTGGTATTAATATTGAAATATATTTCTAAATATATCTATTATTATAAAAGAGTTTTAAAAAAACGTGTGTATTTATATTTAGCAATATTTCTCTTCCCTTTTCAGATTTTCGCCTGCCCCCAGATCTATGCCATTAAGTAAATTGCTGGAAACGTATTAGCTTAAAAGGACATAATCTTTAATCGCGTTTAAATTTCAGTGAATGGATCTTATCGTTATGTTTAAGATAACGCTTTAATAGGTATTCGAGTTCGTGATCAGTTACATTTTCCTTGTGAAGGCAACTGGTTTCAACCGTTGGAAACCATAGGAGTAGGACACGTTTAAGGGCCCCACAGTGAGCATTCTACGACTGTGGTGTATTTTCTCGCTCAATGTTGCGGATTTATGACGTTCGACTGCTGTATCTTATTTGGTGTTCAGCGCGTTAAATTATGGCAAGAACGATGAGTTGGATTTAAATTTTGATAGTGAAGAAGATTCGTGTAGTGACTTAGAAATGGATTTTACAGACATGGATGATATTCTAAAGGACTTGGGTGTAAAAAACAGTTTCATCACGTTGATTTCATCAATGCGGTAAATTTTCTTAATCACTCGTTAGACTTTGCGGAGAAACTTCGTAGTGTGTGTGAATCTCTTCTCATAGCTAATACCGGAGTGGACTTTGTATCTCATCTAATGTAAATCGAAGGACAAATTAAGAAGATGGAGGCCAAATTTAACAATTTGAAAGGTGTTGGCGAAGATTATGAGCACGTAATAATTTTGTTGTTCATTCTAATGCAGTTAATGATAATAAAACTAATTCTAATGGCAAGGAAAGTTATGTACCAGACAAAACGTTTGCTGATAATGTTCAGAAACCTGTTACTATTTCTACTTGGGCTAATAAACTTTGTACATATAAAGATGTACTTTGATAATTTTCAGAAACCTGTTATTATTTCTATTTGTGCTAATGAACCTGGTACATCTAAAGACCTACTTTTGTCTGATATTGTCAAATAGGGTGCTAATCTAGGTAAACTTCTCTAAACGAAGGTCAGTTCGAAAAAAACAGGTGCTCCTACGGATTTAATTCTCCTAGGAAAATCGCCTGGCCACTCATATTCCTTAAGAATAACCTGGATATTAAAACCTCTAGCAAGTTCGAAACTCTTGACAATAATGAAAACAATGTTAATGCGATTGCTGCTTGTTTTGAAAATACTAGACATAAAAATTCTGAGAATGTCCCCCTTGGCAGCGATTTAAGCTTGTAAGGATCTTAAGTTTTACTAACGTTTATTTTATTTTAAATCTTTACTATTACTTCTTATTTTCTACTTCCGGCCAGAATTATAAGCGTTAACTTATTTATGTAAATTTTGTCTGCCGAACGCCAAGTACTTAATTTGTGGCTTTTTGCCAAGCGAGAGAGAGGAAGGAGTTAGTCGAAGCAGGCCGCTTACCTTAGAAGTTTTACTCAGTTGCTGGTTGCCTTCCAGGCCAGAGGTTTAATCCTCTTGATAATTTTAAACGTATTGTAGTGTTAACAGTTCTCTGTACTACATACGGCTTCCTGTTAATATAAGGCCAATCTTCCACGTTTATTATTTCAAAGTTAAGTTAGAGTTTATTTATATTATTATATTCTTACGTTTAGACCACAAGTAGTGGGTCTTTGTATTCCGAAGTACGGAAATTATTGTAAAGAGAAAAAAATAAAGGGTTTTGTATACCCTTCTTGTGTATCCTGTCTACTTCCCACAGTTATTGAACATAGCTTTAGTAAGCTCTCTGTTCCGAGTCAGGTCCTTGCATGTTCCCAAAGAAAGTAAGACGGAACATTGAACCTGATAAGCTAAACCAAGGATTATACCGATTAAGGTTTCTCCTCCACTTAAATTCGGTGATTTTGTCAAAAAACTCAATGAAGAACTAAATGTGGCTGTTACTACTAGAATTTCTGAAGAATTCTTAAAATTATTACCACTTACCGTTGACCATCACCAGGAGATCACCAAATACTTGCAAGCTAATGGTACCCAACATTAAGTATTATATACCAAAAAAATAAAGCCAGTGAAAGTAGTTTTATGAGGCTTGCCCTCCGACTATACGAAGGACGAAATTAAAGAAGAGTTAATTGCCAGTAGATTTAACATCATTAAGGTTATTCAAGTGTACAGATTTAAAGCTAGGACACCATAGCCTCTATTTCAGGTCGACATAGCCAATGTTTCTGAAACTGACAAAATTTATGATATCAGCAACCTTCTCTGTTACTTAGGGTTAAAATCTAGTGTTATTACTAAAACATAGCCTCATCATTAAAATAAAAATATTTCTTTCACTCATCCAAGATACAGAGCAATCCAGAAAACAAAAGACAAAACTTACTTACTTACCTGGTTAGTGTAATATTGAATCGAAACCAATGCTT